GGGATTTCTAAACTCCAAGAAAGCTAAATCAGGTTTATAATAGGACCTTGACCCATTGTTTATGTCGCAACAAGAACTAAAGGTAAGAACCTTGACCCATTGTCTATGACGCAACAAGAACCAGAGGTATAAAGTTGGTTGACGCCACACCCTCGAACGATTAAGAACGAGAATGATAAGTCAGGTTAGAACGCCACAAGAATAATCTTGATAAGTTTTGTAAAATTCTGAAACGAACCAAAGAGAAAAGTCTCTCAAAATCTCAGATTCAATAGCCTCCCTCCCCATTTAGGTTAAACCCCTATTTTGGTCCCTGAACTATTGTATGGACCCCCGATTTGGTCCCTGAACTAAAGAAATCCCTAATTTGGTCCTTGAACTATTGTACGGACCACTGAGTTGATCCCTAAACTATTGTACGGACTCCCAAGTTAGTCCCTAAACTATTGTACGGATGCCCAATTTGGTTCCTACTGTTTACCAATTTAACCCCCAACTTGGTCTTTCTGTTAAATAATAGCTCAGGGACCAAATTGGGGCGAAATTGTAAACAGTAAGGACCAAATTGGGGGTCCGTACAATAGTTCAACGACCAAGTTAGGCCAAATTATAAACAGTGGGGACCAAATCAGGGGTCCATACAATAGTTTAAGGACTAGATCAGGGATTTCTTTAGTTCAGGGACCAAATCGGGGGTCCGTACAATAGTTCAGGGACCAAAATGGGGATTTAACCTTAGGGTTACAAGCCTTTTAAATAGAGAAAACAAATCCTAATCAGAATAGGAAACTAACACCCTAAGTCCTAAACCTAATAACCACGAATTGGGCTTCAAATAAGCGAATGTTCAGCCCAAAAATAATACAAAAAACGTGAAAATCACTAAAAATAACCTAAAATAACATGAAATATCAGTTTGCTACAAATTGCCACAGAATTGTGCGATTTTGACACAAATGACCACAACTAAGCTTTTCTTGAACCTGAATGATGTTTACCATACCTTGATAATCATCCAAGCTTCGATTTAAAGCTTCTCGCATCTTCCCAACTCTAGCTCTCGTGATTGGACCTCCTGGAATGTGGAATGGATCTCTTGATGTGGTACATGTGGGATCATCTTGATTCCCATCATTTACCTTGATTTCTCCACAATCGTTTAACCATTGCAGCTTATATGGCCTTGGATGCTTCGTCATAGGTAAATTAAGCTTTTCAACTAAAACAGTGCTAGCTACGTTAGTACAATTACCACCATCAATAATCACACTACCTACCTTATTTTTGATATGGCACCTCATGTGAAATATGTTATCGCGTTGTACTTCCTCATCTTTTTTGGCTTGCACATTCAAAGCACGCCTGGTGACAAGCAGTTCTCCATCAACAGCATATTCCATGCCATCATCAGCATCTTCCAATGGTGGCATAGAGTCATCATCAGATTCACCCTCTGTTTCAATTTCTCCATCCTCTTTCAAGATCATCGTGTGCTTATTAGGGCATTGCGATGCAATATGCCCTCTTCCCAAGCATCGAAAACACTTAATGTCTCAGTTTCTGCCTTGCACACTGTCAGTTTTACTCTTCTCACTGCTGCCAACGTCTTTTAACTTAGATGCTGAAGTTTTAGGCTTAAAAGCAGAATTTTCTTCCTTTTTGCTCCAATTTGGTTTCCAAGAAAATGAGGAACCTGGATTTTGCCCAGTTCTAGTGGTGGCACCTTTATGCTTGAGTTGCCTTTCTACTTTCATTGCCATGTGCACCATATCCTCTAATTCAACATAATGCTACAGTTCCACCACATTAGCTATATCACGATTTAAACCATGCAGAGACCGTGCCATTGTTGCTTCTTTATCCTCCTCGACATTTGCTCTAACCATTGCGATTTCCATCTCCTTGTGATAATCCTCAATGCTTTTGGACCCTTGAGTAAGGCTCTATAATCGTTGATAGAGATCGCGGTAGTAGTGACTAGGAACAAACCGTTTTCTCATCACAGCCTTCATCTCTTCTCAAGTGTCAACAGGATGCTCTCGATTTCTATGTCGACTAAGCACAAGCTGATCCCATGACACCATAGTGTAATCAGTAAATTCCACCGCTGCTAGTTTCACCTTTTTCTCCTCATAGTAGTTATGGCAATCAAACACCAATTCCACATTCTTTTCCCACTCCAAATACACATCTGGATCATTTTTGCCTTGAAATGGAGGTGATGGGAATCAAGACGACAGCATATCTACTACGTCATGTGATCCATTACACACCCAAGGAGGTCCAGTCATGCGAGCTAGAGCTAGAGCTAGATGCGTGAAGCTTTAAATGGCCTTATTGAGCAGATCTGGGTTGAAAACAACATACAACAAGCAAATCGAAGCTTGGATGATTATCAAGGCGTGATAAACATCATTCAGGTTCAAGAGAGGCTTAATTGAGGTTATAGTAAATTACCCAGTTTGCGTCAATCTCGCAATTTTGTTGCAATTTGTAACAAACTGATATTTCATGTTAATTTAGGCTACTTTTAGTGATTTTCACGTTTTTTATATTATTTTGGGCTGAACATTCATTTATTTAAGGCCCAATTCGTGGTTATTATGATTAGGGCTTAGGGTGTTAGTTTCCTATTCTTATTAGAATTACTTTTCCCTATTTAAAGGGGCTTGTAACCCTAATTGGGGAGGCGATTGAATCTGAGAAACGATAGTCCTTGGAATGCCATGTAAATGAACCAAAGAGAACTCTCAAAAACTCAGATTCAATAGCCTCCTCAATTAAGGTTACAAGCCCCTTTAAATAGGGAAAAGTAATTCTAATCAGAATAGGAAACTAACACCCTAAGCCCTAATCATAATAATCACGAATTGGGCCTTAAATAAATGAATGTTCAGCCCAAAATAATATAAAAAACGTGAAAATCACTAAAAGTAGCCTAAAGTAACATGAAATATAAGTGATGTCAACGCTGCGTTCTTTGCAAACCAGAACTGCAGCATTATGTGGAATTGTAAGATATGGTGCATATGCTGATGAAAGTAGAACGGCAACTCAAGCGTAAAGGAGCCACCACCAGAACTGGGCAAAATTCAGGTTCCTCATCTTCTTGGAAATTGAATTGGAGCAAAAAGGAAGAAAATTCTGTTTTTAAGCCTAAAACTGCAGCATCTAAGTCAAAAGAAGTTGGCAGCAATGAGAAGAGTAAATCAGATAATACGCAAGGTAGAAACCGAGACATCAAGTGATGAGAACCCCAAAGAGAACAATGAGACCCACAGCACGACAAGGGATTTCTAAACTCCAGGAAAGCTAAATCAGATTTATAATAAGACCTTGACCCGTTGTTTATGTTGCAACAAGAACCAAAGGTAAAAAACCTTGACCCGTTGTCCATGACGCAACAAGAACCAGAGGTATAAAGTTGGTTGACGCTACACCCTTGAACGATTAAGAACAAGAATGATAAGTCAGGTTAGAACGCCACAAGAATAATCTTGATAAGTTCTGTAAAGTTCTGAAACGAACCAAAGAGAAAAGTCTCTCAAAAACTTAGATTCAATAGCCTCCTCCCCATTAGGGTTACAACCCTTTTAAATAGAGAAAACAAATCCTAGTCAGAATAGGAAA